GCTAGCATCGTCACCAGATAGTATTTTTTAATATCCGGTATTCCCAGACCTCCAGCTAAAGGTTTTGAGCATGGAGTATGGATGGGCATTGGTGTGGGCCTCCTTTTCCAGATATTAGCATTAATCATAATTTGGAATTTAGCCAGAATTTGTTTAGGGATTTCTATAGGTAGTGTATGGAATAAGAACATAATTTGTGGCAATATCATCATTTTGACCAAGTTCACATGGCCCAGCCATAAAATCAGCTTGAGTTCCCAGGATTGCAGAGTTTGTTGGAGTTTTGAAACTAGTTTTAAATGGTTAGCTTGCAACAAGGTGTGTTTGGTGTGTGCTAGTTCAATTTCAAGGTACGACAGTGTCTTGTCCCTCCAATCAAACATGAAAGTATCTTTTAGAGTTTGTCATTTTTTATCATGTGCAATGGTAGAGCCTGAGTTTTCGAAACGGTATTCTTATAGTACGATACAGTACCATATATTTGTAGTAAGTTCACTAAATGTGGTAGGGAACTCATGGGCTTGGTTAGTAATAGTGGCACATCAACTGTGAATAGTGCCATTTTTTGAGTACCTATACAGGTGGGAAGGCCTACAATATTGCCGTCTGTTTTAACACTTTTGATTAGGGGTTCTAAGGCCAAGATGAAAATTACGAGATGAATCCCATGTTAAGGAACCTGGCTGAAGGGGCTGAGTTTAGAGCTAGTACTGCCCTATGTATGTTACAACAATTGGTGATAAACCACACCTAATGGTGAAACTTAGTGATGTGATATAGAATACCTTTATAGTGTGGTATACAGATATATATATATATATATATATATATATATATATATATATATATATATATTGTAACAGAGTGTTGGGGGTGGTGGTCAGGGGTGTATATCTGGCACCCAGACTTTTGCACAGCCACTATCCTGACATGTGGGTAAGCACATGCAGCCCCAGGGAAAGTTAAGTTTAAATGTAGTTTTTTTTCCTCTGTTGTTATTTGGGTCCCTGGGGTGGAGTATTCGGAAGAGCAGGGTGGGCCGATTCTCCACCCACTGTCAGAGTGGTTGTGCATGAGTCCAGCCCAGGTTTCCCATAGAGTTCTGGCTCACTGCCTAACGAGGTCATTAGCCTCACCTGTAGGGGCTGTGAGCAGCTATATAACTGCAGTTAAAGCAGGGTGAAGTGAGGGAAGTGTTTTGGAGGAGAAAGAAAGTGTTTTGTGGAGAAAGAAGATTTGCTGTTCATTGTATCCTGTTACTTCACAAGAACAGAAAATAAACAGGCCAGAGGCCCTTTTGAAACTGGACTTTGTCTTGACCTGGTTTTCTTACCCTAGAGGGCTGTGCGGTTGCCAAAAGATCCTGGACAAACACACACAGGAAAGTAAGTTTGTCACAATATATATATATATATATATATATATATATATATATATATATATATATATGTACTTTGTTTTTCTGGCTTGTACATAGAATCATTTGATATTCAGTGAAAAGATCCTCAAGAAAAAACCCCACAAATAAAACAGATCGTGCAATATGTCACTTTAAGTGCATATCCTATATAAATATTTAAAAGGACTAACTCACACTTGTCTGAGCTATTTAGAGCTCTGCTTTTTTTTGCTTGGATGGTACAATCCCCATCTCAGGATGCATGAAGATCCTCCAGATGGTGTACGGTAGTGGAAACTTTGATGGTGTAGTATGTCAATGTCAAAAGTAAAAAGGTAAAACACAGTATCCTACTTACAATTTATATAGCAAAAACTTGCTCTTGTGTTGTACAGCTTTGGTGGTATAATCACCACATGGGATGTGCAGGAACCAGGAAAAGAGTCAGCAGCACAAAATAATAAAATAGAACTTAAAATATAGTTAACAAATTACTTTGTTAAGTTAAAAATATATAGTAAAATCCATATGGCACACAATATTGTCAATACAAAACAATAGGGGGTAGTAATATTTATATAGGATACGCACTTAAAGTGACATATTGCATTATTATCTGTTTTGTTTGTGTTTTTTTCTTGAGGATCTTTTCACTGAATATCAAATGATTCTATGTACAAGCCAGAAAAACAAAGTATGTATATATATATATATATATATATATATATATATATATACACACATCTGTATACCACACTATAAAGGTATTCTATATCACATCTCTAAATTTCACCATTAGGGGTGGTTTATCACCAATTGTTGTAACATATATTATATCTTTACACAAGGTTTTTGGGAATCCTTGTCGATTTGCCGCTGCCAACCATTGTATGCTATAGTGAGCACCTACACGATCTTTTCTTTACATCTATTGCCCTATGTATGCCAGGGGGGGGAGCCACATTTGCAGAGGACCGATGACATATTACCCCAATGGAGGTGGTCAAAAGTATTCTCTGCATCAGGGGCCAAGAGGATACCTGGTTTATGTTCTTTGAATAGTGTCTGTATGAGATCTAAAAACCATCTGGCATCCTGGGACAAACCCTGCCTGTACAGGTGAGACAAGCTTTGAGAGTTGAGGTTTTATGTGGTTCGCAAGAACCATTGCATAGAGTAATGGTAATTATATTTGCCTCCAGCATTTCCACATGGATATAACTTGAATCTAAAATGGTGTTAAACGGGGCAGTCAGGTGGGAGGCTAATACATCCACAAAGGTGGTATAATAAGCATTAGGGAATCTGTTGGGACCTGCTGATTTTCATTTTGGAAGTGATTTTATTACTTGCATGACTTCTTCTCTCGTGTGCTATAGTTCACATGTGCCAAGTGTTACCAACAGTCCTGAGAAGTGCCAGTTTAGCATACATTCATTACCCAACAGGGATTGTGGCTGTGAGACCATCTCAAATTGACTCAAACTGTTGGAGATTGGGGCTTGCATTTTGGGCCTCGTCAATGTATTCCATTCCAGTCTCAGCTTGCTGGGTGAACCTTCTGGTTTGGATTTCGTTGTTTCCTGGAGGAGCTTCCATTTTTGCATAAGCGAGACCCCATCTCAATTGTGGTGATTTTGTCAACGATCTCATTATTTTGGCACAAATAGCTCGTCAGTGTGGTTTTCAAGTGCTTCTGTTCTGGTGTCCAGATCAGGGAGCTCCTTGCGCATGTCGTCTTTAAGCTCTTTCAGGTCTTCTTTAAATGAGGCTCTCAGCTGTGTTAGCAGATCTGCGATCCTGTGTTCTGTCACCAGGATGTCTTCCCACAACATTCCAGGGGCTATATATATATATATATATATATATATATATATGCACTGTATGTATCTATACTGTATGTATCTATATACTGTATGTATCTATATACTGTATGTATCTATACTTTTTGATGTCCTGATGTGGAGCTGAAACAGTGACATGTTTTAGCAGTAATATGAAAGAAAGTTAAGTTTTATTTATGACTTTTGTGAAGTCCCCGGTGTGCAGTCTACCCTTTGCTTACAGTTAATTTTGCTGGACCTGCACCGGGCATCATATTTTTATTCCTGGAGTGCAAGCCACTTTCGGATTTACATATATATATATATATATATATATATATATATATATATATACTGGAAAGTCCAAGATCATACCATGGGACAGTATAAGTCCCGCGTATGGATGTATTGGTGGTCTCGGTTGGAAGGCATCCTCAGTAGAAGTAGAAATATCCTTTTTCAGTGCACCACAGTGTAGTAGTCAGAGGTTATCGGTATTTGAAATTGCGAATAAGAACTGAATATAGTGCTTTCTCTATTATTAAATAGCTAAACAGATAAAAAAAGGAGGTATGTTCACAAGGGTAGAGAAATGTCAGGTATTGCTCAATCCTAATAGGCCTACATTGTATCTAACCCACCAAGGAAATCACTGAGCAAATCCTCTGATTCATATTTTCCTTTGTCTTTTGATCAGTCTCCTAAGATTATTGATATTAGAGTTGCAGGAGTGGTTATGAAGTGTGCATCACTCAGAGCTTTCAATGCTCCTCTTGCAAGGGAAGTTCAAGCTGCCACATATTTCTGAAATAAGCACCACAAATATATAAATATTTGATGTGAAATTAAAGCACTATTGTTTTCTGAACAAAATTATATTTGATGAGTAAGTGTGGGTGTACTTAATATAAATATTGGTTGAACAAACATATAGCTCAAATTCTAGACACATTTTGTCCAGAACTTGTACAGTTGCTTTCGTCTTTAAAGGAACACTGTAGGGTCAGGAACACAAACATGTATTCCTGACCATATAATGTTAAAAACCACCATCTAGCCCCTCCTAAATATAGTAAAATCTTACCTTTATTGCAGTATGCTCCTGCTGACTCTGCCCCTGATCTGCCTTCTTGGCTGACATCATCAGCAGTGATGTTCTGAGCTAATCACAATGCTTTCACATAGGAAGGAATGGGATTGGCTAAGCTTTTCAATGAACCAGATCAGGAGCAGAACCAGCACAAGCCAAACACTGCCCTGGCAAATCAGCATCTCCTCATAGAAATGCATTGAATTAATGCATCTCTATGAGGAAAGTTCACTGTCTCCATGCAAAGGGTGTGCAGCACTAGCCCAGGAAGCACCTCTCGTAGCCATCTGAGAAGTGGCCATTGAGGTATCTCGGGGCTGAAAAAACAGTGTTTACTGCAAAAAGCCTGCAGGGACTGATTATACTTACCAGAACAAATACAATAAGCTGTAGTTGTTCTGATAACTATTTTGTCCCTTTAAGAATTTTACTTGGGCTATTCATGGAACAGTTGGTGTCTCTTTAATAATGCATTTAAGTCCTTGAAGAAAACAAATTTTACTGCCTTACTTTGAGAGAGACAAAATAATTAAAGGTGCTGTCTTGTCAGGTCTACCCTGGTATGCCCCTGTACTCTTTTAAAATAAGCTGTGATGTCCATACAATACCAATGTCCATACAATGACAGAGAAAATAAATAAACATTCTAATGAAAGGGTAAAGAAACAGTTGTGACACAAAACATTGTGAGATTGGTTCTTTTAGGTATACGAAGGGTTGTATATGCAAGTAATTGTATATGCAAATCAGTAATCTCCACAGAGGAAATTTACCAAACTTGACAAGTGGAAGCACTTGCCACACTGTGAGTATACAGCAATGTATTAAGTAAAAGAAAAAAAAGAAGGCAAGGCAATAACTATGAACAAAGGTATATAATTAGTGATGTCCCGAACTGTTTGCCGAACGGTTCGCCACGGACTCATCATTGAGTAAACTTTGACCCTGTACCTCACAGTCAGCAGACACATTCCAGCCAATCAGCAGCAGACCCTCCCTCCCAGACCCTCCCACCTCCTGGATAGCTCACTAAGAATGCAGCTTCACAA